GTGCTGATTGGAATGTGCTCACAATCTCAACAATTCAGTGCTATAATTATTTGAACAATGTGTTAGATATTATTCCACTTTTCCTTCCATAAATGTTGTATCCACATAATCCACAGTGCTGCAAAGTTTCAGAGTTCTCAGGGTATCAAACCAAATTATTTCAAATACAGTGAAATTGTTCGTGGACATTATAGCGTAACTTGTTGTTCCCTGGTCCTTTTCTTTGCTATAAATTAATCCTTTGCTCTCTAGCCGCCGGCGAGTCCAACAGTGAAATTGTTAGTTCATATTTTATAATGTGGGTATGTGGCAGGGGGGTTGAACATATTTCTATATAAGGGACCTGCAACTGTAATAAAAAAAAAACCACAGTACAGTAGCCGGCAAATATGTCGAAAACAGAAATGCATGTTACCATCATTGTACATGGACGGGCGCAGCAGGCCGAAGCTATCAGCCAGAACAGGATTTACAATCACCTAGAGATACTTGAGCTATTCCAGTATTCTCCGTGAGCTGTCCCATTCCACAATGGTTCATGCCACCATTATTTCTGGTAGTATCCATGTGCATAATTCCAAGACCATCTCGGATTCTTCAGCAACTTGTGCCACAGCAAAAGACAATGCTTGACTCGGTCACTGGGGCTGTCAAACTTTCCATCACAAAGGAACTTCAATTTCTCATCTGTTTCAGGTATATGTACTGCCATGACTTGACCATGCTTCATCCACAGCTTGGCGAAGATTGTGGCGTTGAATTCCATAGCGCACCTTCTTGCTGCCATGCAGGAGTATGTTGAGAGAAGTGAACATATTTTTACTAAAAAACAACAGCCACTGAAGAGGATAGCAATAGCCTTGGGTGAATTTCCTGCAGGGACACGTTGTTGGTAGGTCTACTGGTCGGTCTCCATATCGTCAAGTTCAGAAATCACCTGTACTACACATCTTGTAGAATGGATCCTGATTGAATAATTTTCTGGTCATAAAATTCACTAAACTGAGGGCGAGCCAAATAGTCCGTACTCCCCGATTCCGTCAAGCAGCTTTGAAGTCTGCATGCTCGTGTGATGCTAACAAACTCCCCGTTGTTACTGCCAGCAGCTTCACTTTCCCTGCGAAAGCGGCTATCAACCTCTCTCTCCATCGTCGCACATCATTCAACATTCTACATTTATGAGCACTGGGTGAATATGTCTCGAGACGAATTTAGCGGATCAACAACGCTTTGCTGGAGATAAATTCTCCTCTGGAGGACCTTCAGGGTACCTGGAAGGGTATAGAAGACGGGATCGCTCACGACGTTGAGAGAACATAGAAAACAACCTCCTCTTCGATTGAAAATTGGCCAAAAGGTATGTGAAATGTATGTGCGCAAATGCATTTCCACTGGCAAGCTAATCCCTCATTACGTCATCAGCGCTCGCTCGGCGAAATTCAAAAGTCGTCTTCGTGCTCGACTCGATCGCTTCTGGAGACTCGTTCTTGTTCGAGGGGTCTTTTCTTTCACCAACCTTCGTCTTGGCATCGAAAACTCGGCGTCGAAAATGAAGCCGGAGTGCCCCTTTAAACTGTGAAATCATAGTAGTGTTTGGGCATTGGCACGTGACAACCAAGATACATGAGCACACTCTATGATACAAGACCTGGCTGAAAGTTGAAAAGAACAGCTGCAACGAAAATCATTTGATCAGCTAAGGTGGACAAGCTGCTGGGAATCGTTCATGACACAAGCGTAAATGACTTGATCCAACAAATCGCTCGCTCAACGTGGATCCTCACAGCTGCTATCTTCTTTGTTGTCATAACATCTTGCGCAAGCATCTAGCGATCGCCTTGCCGCTTTGGTGGGATGTTCAGCTTGACCCCAACAGAAGCAAGGTCTTGAATTTCGAACCCTTTGTCGGCCATAACGCTGTCACCTTTCTGTAGCAGTTGTAGGATCCCAGATGCTTCTGTGAGGCTGCGATCGGAGATAGAGCCTTCATAAAGGTCTGAAACGAACGTGACTGACCCGTCAGGTGAAATGCCAATCAAGGACTTATAGGTGTTATGATTTTTATAAGAGGACTACGTAGCTGATTGCCGAGCTAGCGAGGATGGCTTCTCGATAAAAAAAACTCCGTGTCGTCTATGATCACCCTCATGCTAGGGTACCAGGCCTGAAAGGACTGAGGCATCCACTTGTCCACCTTAGAACGTGACGGCCACAATGGAAGCTCCCGAAACTTGCAGCTCATCAGGTTTATCCAAGTAGTGAAGAGACGACTGACTGCAGATGGTGCAACTGCAAACCTGTCAGCAAGATCCTCCACATCAAGACCAAGACGTAGCCGAACAAGTACCATGAAGAACTGCTCCTCAAGTTGCAACTTGCATTTAGGGCCAGGTTTGTTGCCACTGCGGTCTCCCACATAAGTCTTCTCACCCTGCCAAGAACGCATGGTCACTGCAGATGGCCTCAAATAGTTAAAAACATGCAGTGAACATGCCATACGATGGAAATCCAGTGTATAGCGGATCTTGGTGTCACTGTGGCAGAATCTGGTGACAGAAAAAAGTGGTCTGCTGCACCTTGACCTGAAGTCTGTCAACCTCTTCCTGCAGCTCCTCAGCTTTGGCCTTCCAGTGTAATACACAGTCACAGGTCTCGTGTTCACCAACAACATCCACATTGACCTCGTCGTCAAGAAACACACTATCATCAACAGATTCGTCATCCTCAGCTGGTGACCTGGTGGCTGCAGCCGTGGCAGAGCTGGCAGATACAACTCCTCTAGCACGCTTCTGGGGAGGTACACTAAAACGATCCATAGGTGCCTTGCGTGTCAGTGTTGTGACTTGCAAATGGGCAGGAAAATTCTTGAAAACAGAAGGGACAGCATTTGGCAGTAAACGAGGACTCGGTCGCTCTGACGAGCGTTTTCGTTTCCTGCCACCCGTGTGGAAGTCTCCTTCAGTGAAGTGATCCCCACACACACGAGTAGACGAGTTCACTGAGAAGGTCATTCCAATATCTCGACGAATAGCAAAAATCCACTTCTGAAACACATCGGGCTTCTTTTCTCGGTCGGGAAAGCTAAAAGACGACACTCCATCTGATTTCGAACTGTTGTTCGCACAAAATGGCACACAGCAGTGGTGAGGCATGCCTTGATGAAAGCAGAACCACACACACCGACGGTGCAAGAAATAAAAAGCAGACTTCAAAGACATCTACGAACAATGTGTTTCATGCCAAAAATGCCTTGACTGAATAGACCGCGAAAAATGAAGATTTGACACCCTTTACACCCAGCTGCCCGAATCTTGACCCGTACGGGATGACGTATTCGCAATCGGCCTATTGCGAGATCGCGGCTCAACTTACGAATGATTTATCTCAAGAGACGTTGCTCGCAGCGCATTGCAAATTGTTTCAACCGACAGCTGAGAGTTTTCTATTCTGCCTGGATATTTGGATCGTTGAATTTGAGCGAGATTTGACTGAGTTACGATCTGTTGAAGTTTTGCATTCTTGCCAGATCGATCGTGCGCCCTACCAGAAAATGCCCAAAAACGTTGCTCGTTTGGAACATTTGCCCCCCCCCCCCCCCCCCCCCCTGCGTACGCGCCTGCCAGGATAATATCGACCTGCCTTTTCAAGCAGCCATCCGCAATGCCACTGGTACCCCAGGTCACTTCTGAAGCTCAAGAAGCTTGGAGACAACACTGGGCGCAAAACAATGTCGACACCCAACCAGCTCCTCACTGGACACAGCAGTCTCCTCGATGAATAGCGAATCTTGGCACGACCCTGCAAGGGGACCGGTGCAACATTTGGTCCTTCGAGTTATGGCGTTCCACCAATTGAAGCTCCTGAAGTTGCCCAAGTTCAGCGGTAGCACACAGCAGTTTGTGTGCTGGAAGCAAACTTTCAAGCACCTTGTGGATGAGGACTGTTTCGTCTCGGACGAGTACAAGCTGACAAGGCTGAAGGAAGCGCTGCAAGGCAGCTCAGCCAAGGATACTGTGGGTGACATCGGGGCTGAAATGTTGTTCTGAGATAAGTGATCTGCGTGGGGACCGGTGCAACAGTTTTTTTATCATAATAGTTGCCTGAAGATTGCCATAGGCTTAAAACTCGACATAGTCAGTAATCCAAAGCGGTTACTTATCTCCTACATGTACACTCAGGGAGAGTTGAGACAGCTTCGGAGAGTGCTCAATACACCTAGGTACAGAGCCGTATAACAAGAAGGAAACAAAACGGTTCTGCTGTAACTCTTGAGTTTCCCGGGTTTACTGATCATCAGACAGCACTGATGTCTGATGTCAGCACTGATACCTGATGTCAGCACTGATGTCTGATGTCAGCAGTGATGTCTGATGTCAGCAGTGATGTCTGATGTCAGCAGTACTGTCTGACGAGCGGTAAAACCATGGAACACACTTGTTTCCTTCTTTTCATGTGTATCTTCCACCTGTACGTCATGTAGATATGCCCGTGCCTGCCAATAATCACTCATTGCAACTCATACCGCCATATCTAGCGAAAACCTAGACTCTGCATTTCATACACACACACATACACACACACATACACACACACACACACACATACACACACACACACACACACATACACACACACACACACGCACGTACACACACACGTACGCACACCTTGGACCTTGGATCTTGAACGCCCATCGTGTAGCGATGATGGCTCAGACGCGGCAGTGGGGGGGGGGGGGGGTGCCTCTTCAGGTCCCCAATGCGGCCAAAGGGACGGCCACATGCGCAACGGAACTCTTTCGGCACACACACACACACACACACACATACATACATGCACATACACAAACACACATACATACACATACACGCACACACATACACACATACACACATACACACACACACACACACACACACACACACACACGCACACACACATACACACACACACACACACACACAGAGTACATTCTACTCTGACCCGTACTATCAACTTACCAGCACGTCCTTTACGCTGCTCGGCACTAGCACGGCTAATCCAAAACTCTTGAAGTCGGCGCATTTTTGCAGTTGAGTCATACCCCATCTCCTTGACCTGCCAGAAATGCAGAAAACACAAAAGAATGCAGTGTTCAAAACAGCAGTATAATCTACTTGTCACAATTTCACCCAAGCATAAGGGATGCCCCAATATCAACTTACACTACCGTAAAGTACTGTTCATCTGCCCCCCGCCCCCCCCCCCCCTGTCAATGCCCCCCCCCCCCTGTCAATGCCCCCCCTGTCAATGCCCGCGCCCCCCTGTCAATGCCCGCGCCCCCCTGTCAATGCCCGCGCCCCCTGTCAATGCCCCCCCCCCCCTGTCAATGCCCCCCCCCCCCCCCGTCAATTTTCCACTTGTTAACTTTGAGCGACTTCAGTGCATACGTCAAACAGTGATGAAGTCAATGCGACCAAGTAAAATGGGAGCAGCTCCGAACTTTCATATGAGTGAGTGATGGGAAAGCACAGGGTCAAGCGAAGCGGGTATTGAATGGCATGAGAGAACTGCATTGGAATGCGTGTCCTACTCTACTCTCCAGGCAGGGTACAGCCATACATAAACATGTACATGCATATGTCTATGGTTGTGTTACAAGAGCATGTGACATGTACGTTAACAAAAATGAACGGCATAGAGTTGAAGAGTAACTATACAAACGTGCATCCTCGAGTTATTAGCAATGCTTTACCTTGCCAGAATCCAGAATGAATCGCACACCATCTATTGTAACTGATGTTTCTGCAATGTTTGTTGAAATGATGCATTTCCTAACGCCGTCTGGAGCAATGTCAAACACCTACACACATGTGCAATACAGACGCACAAACACGAGAGAGAAAGAGAGACGTCAGGCGAAATAGCACGTCATCGTACATTTGAGATCAGCGGGAAGAAGATGACGACGTCCACTAATTTAGTATCTGTGCACACGAATCTGCTGTGTGTGTGACTCTGTGTGTCAGCTATGATATCATCTTCTGTGGTTCCATGCCTAGCATGTACGTCTGAACCATCCTGCAAAGTTTGAATGACGTAGGT